TTTCATTCTTAAAGAAAACAAGAACTCCTCAAACATTATTGGTTTTATGCAAAGGAGATACATTAATTCTCATCCTTTTAAATTAATGTTCACCATCCTTAAATGTAAATTAATAATTTACAACTCTATAATTATATTCAAATCAGTGAGGGAAGGGAATTGATACCCTTGTTTTTCTTACAGTTCTTTTTAATGGAGTCTGTAGCTGTTATAATCATGACAGATGTTACACTTTGAGTATGACTATTGTTCCAATATCCCTGCCTAAAGAAAACTTGAAATAGAAATAACAGGGTGTGAAATTCCCCATAATTTCAGTTATGCATTAACTGAAATACCACTTTAAAATTAGCTTTAAAAATTAGTACTGATAATTATAGAATCATAGAATCATAGAATTGCTGAGGATGGAAAGGACCTTTAAGATCATCAAGTCCAACCATTAACTAACCTACCCTGACAAAACCTCTTCTAAACCATGTCCCCAAGTACCACATCTACCCTTTTTTTAAACACCTCCACCACAAATCCACCACCTCCCTGGGCAGCCTTTTCCAATGTTTAATAACCCTTTCAGTGAAAAAATTTTTCCTAATATCCAATCTAAACCTCCCCTGACATAACTTGAACCAATTTCATCTCGTCCTATCACTTGTCACCAGGGAGAAGAGGTCAGCCCCCACCTCTCTACACCCTCCTTTCAGGTAGTTGTAGAGAGCGATAAGGTCTCCCCTCAGCCTCTTCTTCTCCAGGCTAAACAATCCCAGCTCCCTCAGTTGTTCCTCATAAGGCTTGTCCTCCAGACCCCTCACCAGCTTTGTAGACCTTCTCTGGACACGCTCCAACACCTCAATGTCCTTCTTGTAGTGAGGTGCCCAAAACTGAACGCAGTACTCGCGGTGGTGTCTCACCAGTGCCGAGTACAGGGGGAAGGACATACAGTTTATTCCAAAGTAAATCTAATTACAGGAGGTCTGTGTGGATAAAATGAAGTACCATGCTAAGCCTATGGAAGATTTGTATACTAAGGCCTTTAGGAACATATTGCAGGATCTGTTTGGGAGATCATAACTGGTTTTGTTGCATCCATTTAGCTTGAAGACAGACACAGCTTTCATCAGTTTGGGAAATCTTATGTCGGGGAATCTGTAAAAGACTATGAGATCATGAATCATTGAGAAAATACAGTTTTTACATTTGTAAGGTAGCTAAGATCTTCACTGGGAGCTGTAAAATCAGACAGTGACTCATTGAACTGTACACATGAAGCAAAATAAGTTCTCCTCTGCCTCTATATCCATACGTTTCCTATTTCTTTGTAAACCAGTGCTGTAGTCCCAGATTTAATTAAAACGGTGATTAAATTATCTGTAACTGCACACCCAAGCATAAGCTATAGCACGCTCCTTAACAGCAGAAATGCATGCCTGTCATATTTTTGTAAACCGGTTGCTTCCCCTTAGAAGCAGGCAAGCCAGCGTTTCATCTTAATGATGAACATGGACTGGACTGAAACATTATGTTCCGGGTCCCAGGAGAGCGTGAGTAGGTATTTCTAAAAGCTGTGTGTCTGGAGTGCATTCCTGTTCTCCTTGCAAGGAGCACAGTATTTTTCTCATTCTTGAGCACACTACTGCCAATGTACGAAACCGGGACTGGAATTTTCAGTGTTGTGCAATGTTGTACTTACGCTGTGAGTTTGATTGATTGGTATTTGCAATTTGCAGTTGTGGTTGGTTTTTTTTTTTAATGTTTCTTGGACGTGTGCTAATAGTTGTCTGCAAGCTACACCATTTGCTTAATTGAGATCCTGCCTTGTTGCAGAAATAAGACATACAGTATTTGTGGGCTTCATACCAGTGGTGGCAGTGAGAACTGTGTCAATAGTTTCAGAGGGAAGGGAATTAGAACCTGTAGAACAATGTAAGTTTTATTGGATACTAAATAACACTCCTTTACAAGGCAAAATAGTTCTTCTCTTACTTTATTTCATTACTTTTCTGTTTCCTTTGCCTTTGTCCCCAGCTTTTATCCTCTTATTTTCATAATCATGAGAAGCCAAATTAATCTCAGGTATAAGACTGCCAAACCAGCTTTGAATTTCTTTTACTGTTCTGACTCTTTATACTTTGAGCCCAGCAATGAGGGCCAGAGACTAGCTAGATCTTACCAGCTGAGATATTGGGTGGCTCATTAGTTTGGCAGATCCATCTCGCATTCAGCCTCAGATGTCCACATGTAAAGACACATCTACTTGTATCATGGCAGGTATCCATTCACTCATGAGTCATACTGTTTTCTTTTTGTATTAGGTATGCTAGAGGTCATACGCTTTGCTTCCAATAAAAATCACTTGCTCCCTCTGTAACTAGCTGCGTAATCAAATCCTGAGAGAGTAGGAGGGAAGGGACCCAGAAAAAGAGGTTAAAAAAGCAGTCCTCCACTCAGAGAAGTAAAGCAATAAAATAGGGTGCGTGGCTGGCAAAACTGTGGAGAGAAAAGCAGGGAAAGATTAAAAAAAATTCTCCAGAATATAAGACTACAATTGGGGAATGAAAGTAGTTTCAAAGTGGCGGAACAAAAGGGAGGGAAAAGTTAAAATGATGAAATAGTAAATCCACGTGGACAAACTAGATTGCAGTCAGGATCAATGAAAACAAATGATAAGCAGAAAAAACAAAACACACAAAACATTCCTATCTGTAAGCCAGAACAAACCATCAGGATAACACCTTGACATGCTTTTCAAATTTTTGAAGGAAGGAAAATGGCAACAGAAATAGTGAGGGGAACAATTTTAGAAACTGATAGTGGAGATGAAAGGCTTCTCTTCAACAGTTTCTCTTTCTGTCTAATACTCTAAAAGTTTTGCTGTTCTAAGTATAAACCAGGCAATATAAATTTACCTTCAAGTAAGAGCAAACATAATCTATTTTAATTTATATGGATTTGCATCGTGTATGTGGTATATGATGGCTTTATTTTAAAGAATAATTTGTCTCTGTGGAATCATAATTTTTGTTCTTTAGTAGCCAGGCAGATTGCAATGTGGCATCTTGACAGAGAGGTGGCTACTCCGTGCACCATTGCTCTCGTGGAGGTGGAATGAAGCCTGAGGAGTCCCAGCCTTGTACTGACAACAGAGCCTTGTACTGATGACAGAGCATAGGTATTCTCCTTTATCTAGAACGAGTTTGTATTTCTGGAGCAGGACAATCTGGTTTGCAACCTTGCTGTCACCAGTATATTTTTGTATACATGGTTGTAAGAAACATAGGATTGCAACATCCAGGTCACTCACCTGTCCTCATCCATGGAGCAGGAAAATCTCTTTATGCTGGAAAGCAGCAAAAACACCCAGCGAAAACATTCAGCTTCAAACTCAGCTGCCTGCATGTCAGACTCTTTGATGATGTGTATGCCTAAGTTCTCATTGTAGTCACTGGAGCCTACTCAGCTTACCATGTACATTTATTTTAGGAACAGCTTTCTAGGCTAAGTCTACACTCTAAGCTTAGCTGCCTAAGACCTTGATTGACTATAACAGGAGTTCAGACACCTTGCTGAGGTATGGACACTTGCGTGTAGGAGTCTGTCTCTGCAAGCTAACATTTCGCTCTTCAGGTGCCCGGGCAGGGCACTGGGGACCAGTGGGTGGACGCATGATGTGCCTCCAGCTTGGGCTCCAGCTGCCACCCAAGCCCTGCCACCGCCATCCTGCACTGGGAGGCTGCACAGCCCCCACCAGCAGTCAGCAGCTGATGAGCTTGGTGGGTTTTTTTCTCGCATTGGGATCAAGCGTATAAGGTGTCTTGTGTAATGAAGAACTCGGCAGGTACCATTTTACTCAGGACTGGCGGCTGTTTTCTCTACTGACTGAAGCCTCTGTGTTTTATAACCCCTGCATACAAAACATCCCACTGTCGTTCATCAGGCCTTCATAATTTCTGCTAAAAAAATAAGCTGGGCCATTGGAAAAAAAGAAAGAAAATGTTAGGTCATTTGTTCTCATAAGGACTAATTATAAAACCCATGACTGTGTTATTTAACACTCAGTTCACTTTAAGTCTGTTGGCAATGCTCCCTCCTGTATTTCCTGAACATGTTCCTACAAACAAGTTTTCTGAAGAGGGTGAGAGCTGATGCAGGGAATTTGAAACTCAGCTGAGAAGGGAAAGTTACTTTTTGTATTTATGATTGTGAATATTTGCTGCTGTGTCTAAAAGGACCCCTGACTTAAAGATACTGTCTATCTTATAAAGTAAAAACAAATATTACAGGCCAAATTCCTGTTTTCATATTAAAGCCTTACCAAATAAAAAAAAATAATATTATTGAGAAATCAAAAGTCCTGGAATTTTCCATGTCAAGCTGATCCAACACAGACAGTACAGACTAAAAAGAAGACTTTTTGTGTTTGCGGTTAAAATAGGATGAGGTTAATATTGTCTTCCTAAATGTAATCTCTTTCTATAGAGATAGGATATCATGTTTCTAATTTTAATTACAGAGGTGGGTGGCTTTGATCACTACAATTGAGATTTGGGTTAGGGTGTGGATTTATAGTCCTGCTCCTCCCTGTAAAGGCTGGAACTGCTTGTGTCTGGACTCATCTTTTCAATTAATTTGCAGTAATTAAAGGGTGCCGTGTGGGATGAGGCTAAAGAGAAACACAATTAAAATGCAATGCTTCTCCTTCGGTATCTGCATCCTTATTTATTTTAAACCATTTTCAATGCTCTGATGAGTTTAAGTCTTCCTGTATCACATACTGCGCAAGCAGAAATATGTGAGTGAACTGTTGCCAATGGCTCTGAGCAAGCATGGGGCATGTTTCAGATTACACTGTGTTTTCTTGTTTGGATCTGATCTCCTTGCTAGGCGAGGCTGAGAAAGGCAGCTCTAGGGGATTTACTTCTAGCAGCAGCAGCAGCACATGATCCATCAATCGCGTGATTCTCACCACCGAGGACTAATGGGGAGGGTGAAGAAAAAGCACACGCTGCCTTGGGGAAGCAGCAGCAGTTTTCTTCTGCTCGTGGGGCCTCTCCGCCAGCTGGACGCTTCATGGCTTCTCCCAGGTTAGAAACCTACTGCTGCCCGAACCGGGATGCAGCTACGCAGCTAGTGATGAACTTCCAGCCTGAAGTCTTCTGTGGAGTTTGCATTGGCAGCGCCTCCGTCAGTCTGCTACTGACCATCCTGCAGCTCCTGCCGAAGAAGGGACAGAGCCCGCGGAAGATGCCCAAAGCCTCCTCCTCTTCCACCATCCTTCTCCTTATCTCTGTTTGTGACATCCTTGGTGGCTTAGGTAAGCGCCAGTTTGATGTCCCTCACCCTTGCTGTAGCAGGGTCTCGTTGCTCTGAGGTACCATAGCCAATGGAGCTGGTGAGTGCACAGCAGAGATTTCTGAGGGAAACATCCTGTATGTATTCACGGGTAGATTTGGGCTAAGTGAGGTCAGAAAATGATGGGCCTTTGGGAGAGAAAGGTCTTGTTTAATAGTTATAGTTTATAAGGAAAAGCTCCTGACAAATCTACACCAAAATCTCTGCTTTAAAACAAATTAAAATCTAGAACAGTGACTGCTTCTCAGAGGAAGGCATAAAAGTGGAGGTGAGGCAGCATATTTAAATCTAAAGCTACCATCAAACACTTAGCTGATCCTTAGGACTACATTTGAAAACAGTTCCTATATGTCTTTAAATGCCCTCAGACGAAGTTTACCATCTTGTTCACGCGCCAGCCGCTTCTCTCAGCACATCATGTCCACGGCAAATGAATTTCAATTGCAGCTGTACACACATCATGCTGGACACAGGCTTTTGAAATGCGAGCGAAGCTCCCTTATCAAGGGCAACCTGCTGCCTGGCCCCTGGCTGATAGGCTGGAGGAATAAAACAACAGGGAATAAAACAAAACTCATCAGTCAAAATGAAACTAATGTGTCTAAATCTGTCCCATCAATCTATGGCATTTACTGCCAAATTAGGTATAAATTACCATGACACATGCTATAAAAATACAGGATGAGTTTTATTCCACAATAACATTTTTTCCCTCACATTAGATAACAGAAGTAGTGCTGTTTAGTAAGTCTCTCTTGCTGCCTGGGGAGGGAGTGGGATTTCAGGTCTTTTCCCCTTTCATACTTAGTTAAGTTCTCTTACGGTATGTCATAAGTACCAATATTAAAACAAAAACTAGGGCGGGAAATAAAAAAAGAGAGAGATGGAAAGAACGTATGTGTATTCATCTGGAAAAAGTCCTTTCAGTCAGATGAGGCCAGCAATAGATAAAGTTATTTTTCTCCCTTTCACTGGCAAACTCAAACTATTTTTCCATCATTGTCTTGGAATTACTCATTTTGGTTGGTGGGAAACTGTTCTCTCTTGGAGGGAAACCTGGTGGGTTTGTTCTGCTATATGTTGGCGCTTTAATGCCTATTTCAAGCAAACCCAGAAAATCTGACTAACAAACTATAAGTTCATTTAAAACAACAGGTAATGTTCTCACCTAACTCTGAAGCCCTGCTTTGTTCAGTCCTGTGACAGAGAGGAAAAGAGCTGCTTGTAAAAATGAAGACAGCGATATGTGGGAAATGACTTTTTTCTTCAATGTGAGATTATAGAGAAATGAACATTAGCATATGAATATATGCCAGTAAAATTGTAAATAGTTAGTTACTCGTTTACGTCAATCTGTTAAATGCTACCCAATTTATTTTAGGGAAGTGCGTGACAGTATCTGGAAGTAAGTGGGATTTTAATCTACATAACATTTCAAGTTCCAGCAGCTTCAGACTCTCAGGGCTACTTTCACTGAGTGATTACACTGACATTTAAATAGCACAGTTGTTCCTCCTCTGCTCCTCTGCAGCCATAGCCTTCCTGTGGATGCACAAAATCTGGGCTGCGATGTGAAATATGTGGCCGGGGAGAAGCATGTGACACAAATCACGCCAGCAGATTCAAAGCATTAATACTTTTTTTTTTTTCCCCCCTTTAGGTATGATCTTCAGGTCAAGTGTATGGCTGGGCTTCCCAGGCTTCATAGCTAACATTTCTGTGGTGAACGGGACCGACGTGTGGCCTTCTGCTTTCTGCGTGGGGAGCGCGGTAGGTACAGAGACGGTCTCCCCTTTCCTCCCGCTCCTGCTTGACAGTCCCTCATCGTAGGGAGCCTGAAAGGCAAACCACTGTGTCCGAAAGGAGATTTGGCTGTGAGTCACAGCTTGGATATGATGGTTTCAGCCTCTGCCACACCCCTGCAAGTGCGTTCATGCCTCCCGCCGAAAGCCCAAAAGCCAGGCGCAGGTCAGGCAGGGTGCTAGCTGCTGTACCACAGGCAGGGGTACGGAGGCGTAAGGGTACTACAGACATTCCCGAGCGGGCAATGAAACCACCAGCTCAGTTTGCCCTGGCATCACTTATCCCCTGGCGGCTCCTTCTCACCTGCACCACGAGGGTATCTGCCCCCCTTCTCCAGCAGAAATTGTGTGGTGGTATATTGTGGGGACTGACCGAAACCAGCAACTTGGGTAGCTCAAATTAGCTTTTGCGGTGTGAACGTGTGTGTTTTAGACACACAGGGGCTGCAGGATAAATACACCCAGAGACACAAAGCTGCTGCAGAAGTTCCATCCCTGCCATGCAGGATTACGGCTCAGATATTGCTGTTTATATGGGCATTCAGAAATGACCACATCTGGCCTAGTCTAATTAAGTATCTTCTGGGTTAAAACACATAGAATGAGAAAATGCAAATGCATTACAAAAGTGGAGATTGAAACTTGGTTTCAAATATTACAGTCATAGTACTGAGACATATAATTTGAGTTTACTGTACAAGAAAAAGACATGTTTTTACCAAAACACAAGGAATGACAATTAAGACAGATCACCACTTTACTCGTAGGAATGTAGGGTGCCCAATGAATTAATGCATAAGCAATAACAGTATTAGCTCTACAATTCAAAGTTTATAATATAGAAGAGGATAAGCTGCATGTAAAAAAAATTATTCAGCTCCAGTAATTTTCAAATAAAACAATTTGTGCCAAAATGCAACTCACTGTACCTTATATGCCTGTATAATGACAATTTCAGTCATGATACTGTTGTGCCATAGAACTAAACATCAGTTGTACGCATCTATCGATTCTCAGTTCCGTCATACATGTTTAAGTTTTGCTTATTAGATGCAAATGTTGACTTTTTTCTTTGAGGAAGGGGAAACCAGCAACATCAATATTTTGTAGCAAGGAAGTCCTATTCAAAATCCGTGTTTCCCTATGTCTTAAATTTCACTTTCTGGCCCTTAACACAAAAATTAATATTTTTAAACAGTGACAACGATACTGTATGCAGCCTGTTTGTTTTTCTTTTGGATCTCAGGTTAGATGGGGAGAAGCATAGTGGTCTACCACAACTTTCATTTTCCCTTTCTTGGGCTCCAGCAAAGTGCTGTAGTTTGAGTCACTTGCTACATTTAGATTTAATTATATTGGAACGAAAAACAACCCTCCTTCCACTCACTTCCCCTAACATATTCTCATGGGAGTTAATAAAAAGTTTCTGATTCTATTTTATTTTTCTTTCAGTACTATTGTTTGATTTCACTTAGCCACAAGACAATACAAACTCCAAATAGTGAGGCCTTTAGGCATCTCCTTTGAATAACACCCTCCGTTTTGCAGAGAGGTACCCTCCTGGGCACTGTAGCAAAATGCATCATTTTGCAAAAAAGTGAGGTAGCATATGAAGATTTGGGGTTTAGGAGAATCTGATTTATATTATTTTTGGAGGCAGTCTTGTCTATGTTGGATTTTCCAGTGGAAAGACCCCACGGTTTATTTTTGTATGTGTATGTGTGTGTATAGTAAATTGTGCATTTTTTAATTGTAAACATGTAAAAGTGCAGATGAAGTTTTATGCTGAATGCTGTGGATAAAGTGTATTACAAGGAAGCCTGGATTTCTGTTTTCTGACTCCTGTGCGCTAGCAAAATGTTAGTGCACTCCTGCTCACTTGCAAAAAACATGCACTAGCAATGTGTTTGAATTAAATACTGAATAATTCATGTCACAAATGACTAGAGGCAGGGTCTACACCCATGGTGGAGGGAAATATTTCGCAGCTTGATCTACCTTTTGGAGGAAGGAATGGTAGATCTCTATTCACTGACGTTTGGCTCAGTAACAAGTATGTTGGTTTCCAGCTGTAAAAGGATGCTACTATGGAGCTGTGACAAAGGATATTCAAATAAGAACTGAAAGAGGGCTCGGAGGGAAGGTAATCTGAATATTAAAATAGTTCCAGATTATTACAAAGAGCCAGCTGCTGTGGGGGAGAAATTTGGAGTTTATGAACAGTGGCAAAGAAAGGTCACTTATCTCATGGGAAAAATGTATAGGGTCAGCTCACAAATTTTGTGGAATTTAACTTGACTTGAACCTGTTTCCTCTGGATTTTTATTGAAGAAATCAGTCAGGGAGTTCAGTATGGATAATGTTTCCAGAGAGTGAGTGATATTTTTGTTAATGACCCATTCCCTGAATCGGGTTCTTGTGCATGGAGAAAACGCCCATCACATGCCGAACCCACAATGCATAGGCACACTGTGGTCGTGACTGACCTCAGTTATATTTTCATGCCTCAGCTACTGAGAAACTACTAAAATTTTAACCTAAAATTAAAACGTCCTCACTGTAGATTTCTTTTGGCTTCACTCATGACATTGAGGGTTAGGACTGGAGAGGTAAATAACACGTTTTCTAAACAAGAGAATAAGCTGTGAAAGCAAATGCTGTTCAGTTTACCTATGACTTGACCTGTTGGCTACAGCAACGCTGTTTCTGTGATTCTGAGTAAGATTTCATACTTCATGATCTCAGCTGGAAAATACACACATTTAAAGAACAAATCACCAGGCTAAAGGTTTGAGTCCCTCCCCTGTCCCCAGTGGTTCTTGAGAAGCAGCTGTGACATTTGGCATTTTTTTCCCTGCAGATGTGGATCCAGCTATTATATAGTGCTGGCTTCTGGTGGTTGTTTTGCTACGCCGTTGATTCTTACTTGGTGGTAAGAAGATCAGCTGGACTAAGGTACCAGAGTTAAAACTCTGAATTTGTTATTTTCCCTTCCAACACTGTATGTTCGTGCTTGTCTGCAGCTGTCTAAGTGTATAAATGAAGCTTGCACAAACATCTGATGTTCAGGCAGTTACCAGGTAATGATATGGGTGAGTGGTGTGCTAAGTGCTTAAATTGCCAGGGCAATGCTCAGATATTGGTTTGTTTATGTCCAGATGGAATTTAAATGTAACTGAATTCATTGAACCTTTGGAAAAAAAGGGAGCAGGGCAGGGTCTATAAACTGTATTGCAGTGAGATACTATTTTTGTCCCTACTCTGTACCTGAAATTGATTCTTGAGAAAAAAAAAAAAAAAGTTATCCTGAATATAATATCCTCCATCCCTGTTAACCAAAAAAATAATGTGCATTTGGGCCTGGTTCTAAGATCAGAATAAACAATGAAAGACTTTTAACACACGGATTGGAACCTCCTTAAGAAGGCAGCAGTATTGGACTCTGAAGAGAAACATAATTCTCTGAAAATTACAGAAGGGTGGTTTATTTGACTCTTCAGCTGCATTCAAATTCCCTACTTTTTCTCTGCAGGAGAAATGAAGGATGCAGGTGTTCCTTCTGGAGATTTAGGCGTAAGGGAAAAGCTCTCCACCCTGCAGGTTGGAGGACACAGGACTTCTGTGTGCAAGCCCAAACAACCACTGTGGCTCATCCTTTTTCCAAAAGCCCCTTCCAGCCCCACCTGCTTTCCTTAGTTTGATGTACTGTCAGTGTTGTTCTGCATTATTTCTTATCTGTAAAGCTCTTTTTCAGTGAGGGTCCTATTTTTATGTCACACTGTGGAAAGTGTAAGGTTTAGTGTCTTTAATTACGCCTGTCATGTTTGGTGCCTGCAGTACGATTGTGCTGTACCACATGATGACGTGGGGCCTCGCGGTGATGCTCTGCGTGGAGGGAATTGCACTGCTTTACTACCCTTCTCTCTCCAGGTAAGCAGGGCTCTGGGAACAGCCCGCAAAATCATAGCCCTCTCTGGTCATATGAATGTCGTTTAGTCAACTTTAGAGACAGATAGCCAAATGTTGGGCTCTTTTGATCTTTGACAAGCATGTCCCACTGAGTCAGTGAGTATTCTAGAAATACCTGCCTGGGTTTCAGGGGTTCCTGAAGAAATATGCCTGGCAATACAGGCACTTGGGCATGCTGCTGCACTGATCCACCTTCTGCTGTGAGCCACTGTTCTCCCACTCCCGAATTTAGCTTTGTATTTGATCCTTTAAATTTGAGAAAAATGCACAGACAGTGCATGTTAATAATCAACTTTGGGTCCCATGTGAACTGGTGGTGAAGGTGTGTGAATTAAAAGTTTAGCATCTGTTTGCATAATTTCCTTTATTTTTTTATGTTAAAGGTGACATAGATAGAATAGCCAGAACTGTCAGATGTGGACAAAAAAATGCATAAGCTGTTAACGATTTCTTCTCAGCTGTGAAAATGGCTTGGAACATGCAATCCCACATTACATCACAACCTATGCCCCTCTCCTGCTAGTGCTGGTGGTCAACCCCATCCTGTTTAGGAGGACAGTATCAGCAGGTATGTTCCTAATGACCAATATGAATCAGTATGTGTTATTTAGCAACGTAGCAATACTGTAAAAAGTCATGGCTGTGTATTCAGTCATGTGGGATCGGTCTTCATTAAATCATAAAGATACCGCAAAGGGTGGGAGGGAGCTGCCTATTGAAATGAAGATACCATCTTGATGGGAAATTTGCCCTAGAGACACACTCTGATGATGTGCTCAAACCATGCTGTTATAAACCTCTACCGCAGATTGGCAAAGGTATTTCTACGTTACTAAATTACTCTTGATTTAAAGTATTTGAGGCAATGTGTAGTGGATGCTTAACTCTACTGTAGTATTGATACCAACCTGGACTTTGGAACGTGATTTATTCTGGTTTAAAGATAATGTTGGTAAGATCTGATAGCTGATTTAACTTCTTGGCAGCCCTGGAGCTAAAAAAAATATACTAAAATATGATCAGAATTTTGTTATTCCTGATTCTGAGATTATGAAACAAACGGGAATTGTACACAACACAGATGGGATCTTGAAGTTCCCATTTAATTTATTATCCAGTGCTTTGAAGAAATGAGTTTGAAAAGAACCCACAGATTCAATGCATTCTTTGCATGTAATATGATCAGTGCTAGATGTTTGTGGTACCTGAATTCATACTTATCATCTACACATTGAATATATAAAAACAGCAACAGAAGACCTTGTATTCTCGGTTCAGTCTTCATCCCATCTATCCTGCATCCCTCAGTAATACTCATTTTCAAAGGAACAGTTATTCCTTTAAAACGTTGTTTCTATAAAAAGTTGCTCTTTTTATGGGAAAATACACACTGAGTATATTTGTGCTGGTGCACATGTATATTCCTTGTGATATCTGAACAGCATGTGGCATGACTGTCATTTTTTGCTGACATTACACCTTGAAGTTTTAGAGGTGTAGCCAAAGCTGTATCAATTGCACAGTAAAATATAATGTGCATAATAGGATAGCATGTATTCTATCACATAACAAATGTATCATTATGTCACACATTATATAGAAATTGTAAGCACTACCTTTTTACTATAAAAGAAAAGTATGTTGACCATACTATTTTCTATTTTCAGTGGGACTGAGAGAAGAAAAACCAGCTAGTGGGATATCACTCATTTTAGGAATGCATAATGGATGAATTCTTTTCCTTTAGTATTAGGCTATATGTGAGGTTCCTTGATGATGATCCTTCCAGCTTCTGAACTGCTGCTGGAGACAAATGCATCAATTCCTTCGTTCCCTCTTTACAGACATCTATATTCTAGATCCTTGAGCCTATCACTAACAAGATACATGTATGTTAATGAACATTATTGTATACTTTCCAGTTGCCTCCTTACTGAAAGGGAGACAAGGGATTTACACAGAGAATGAGAGACGTCTGGGAACGGAGATCCAGATCCGCTTCTTCAAAATTATGCTGGTATTTGTTATTTGGTAAGAGGTGCATTATTTTGTTTTAAACCGCCTTTTTCCCAGCTGGAGAGTGTGGGGGACAAGAATAGAGTCTGATGGGTTGCTTAATTTGTTTGTCTTTATGCTTGGAAGGGAAGGTGTCTAAGGAAGAAGTAGTTCTAAACTGGTTCACTCATGTAGCATCACAAGGCTGTGAGGAAATGATAAAAATGTTTAACCAACAGGAAAACAATAACCCCAAGAAACAATAGCCAAAAAAAAAAAAAAAAAAAAGGTTGGGCATAGACTAAAGCTGTCTGAAGCAGTGGCTCCCCAGCACTGTGGGCTGATAGATGGCTTTCTGTACCCAAGATTTCTCAGAGCTTCTTGTCACCAAACACATCACTGAAAACCTACAATAAATATGCTTCTAAGATGGGCTTCATGGCCCTGACTATGATTACATAATGCAGCCACCTCTGTGGTTTGGAGATCCCAAGTGTGTGAAAAAAGCATGGATATTGACTGGAAATACAGGCTTATATGCTAGAAAGGAAATCTCCATATGATAGTGTGTGAAGTTCCTAATAATTTAATCTTTTTTTTTTTTAATATTCCTCCATGAAAACAGTTAAGTTGGGGTAGGAAAGGAAAGAGATGGAGAGGAGAGGAGAGGAGAGGAGAGGAGAGGAGAGGAGAGGAGAGGAGAGGAGAGGAGAGAGGGAACAAGGGAAGTGGGGAAGGAGGGAGGGTACACATCTCATCCCCAAATCCCTGGGCCTCTGCTCCAGCAGCACCATCCAATGTAAAAGATTCTGGAGTGGTACTGGATGCACAGAGCAAAACTGAGCTGAAATAGGGCCTGTTTTTGGAGGAAACAGTTTTTACTACAATCTCACAATTATCCCACAGCAATAAAAGCACCAGAAGGAGTGGTGATCCACTCTACAAGGGTCTGTGCAATGACCTAGCAAGAGCAAGGAGTCACTGCTGTGAAGTATTTACGACCTTCGTGGGTAACACAAGCAACAGGGGAGGAAGGAAACGGTCCTGGAGTAGCGAAATGACTTGGCCAAACTTAACAGTCTCTACAACTACTTAACTTTTTTATACACAGGTACATTAATGCATGTTACATTGCTTTAAAAGGCTGAGAAGGGAGAAAGACTGCCTTTTTATCTTCTCCTGCCTGCTGTATACTGGAGTGCTCTGCAGGGAAATTATTATTTTTCTTGGGGAATAACAGAGTCCACTTGGCTCGGGAGAGAGGTTTCTAGCGCGAAGGGTGGCGTAGCCAGCAGGAGAAGGGGTGAGAGGCAGCAATGAAGGATTCTGCAGCACGGCTTCCTGGAAATTGTTGCAAATAATGAGGAGGAGAGATTTAGCCAGGCTTCCAGTGCTGTGGAAAGAAAGAGCCCAGAGGCACCACAGAAGTGTGTTGCAACCTAAGGAATGGTGGCCAGCTTGCTGGTCTGAGAGCAAGCATGAAAGAAAGGACCAATTCCCCAAGGACACAGTGGGGATATTTGTTTATTTCCATTCTGTCTCATTCTGTGTTTTCCTATTAAAAAAAAAATAATCACAGCTCTGGTGTTGGATTTTGTTCTCCTAATAAAACAGAAGCACTAGAGCGTAAAAACTCTCTCAAAGGTTACTG